CCTGGCTGGGCTCTCTGGGATTGGGAAGGACAGGACAGGTACTGCTCCATGGTTGGGCTCTCTGGGATTGGGAAGGATGAAGCAGGAGCTACTCCCTGGCTGGGATCTCTGGGATTGGGAAGGATGGGACAGAAGCTGCTCCCTGGCTGGGCTCTCTGGGATTGGGAGGGATGGGACAGGAGCTGCTGCCTGGCTGGGCTCTCTGGGATTGGGAAGGATGGGACAGAAGCTGCTCCCTGGCTGGGCTCTCTGGGATTGGGAAGGATGGGACAGGAGCTGCTGCCTGGCTGGGCTCTCTGGGATTGGGAAGGAGCTGCTCCCCAGCTGGGTTCCCCGGGATTGGGAGGGATGAAGCAGGAGCTGCTCTCTGGGATTGGGAAGGACAGGGAAGGAGCTGCTCCCTGGCTGGGCTGTCAGGGACTAGGAGGGATGGGACAGGAGCTGCTCCCTGGCTGGGCTCTCAGGGACAATGGGAAAACAGGCACCATGGAATGGGGGAAACAGGGAAAGGGGCATGGGGAAAATGGGGACTGTGGGATGGGGAAAACGGGGATCCCGTGGGATGGACAAAAAGCTTCTCAGGGTTGGGACGAGATGGTCTTGGAGATCCCTCTTGTGAGCCAAACCATTCCGGGATCCCATGGGATGGACAAAAAGCTTCTCAGGTTTGGGATGAGATGGTTGTGGAGATCCCCCTTCCAACCCAAACTGTTCCGGGATCCCGTGGGATGGACAAAAAGCTCCTCGGGGTTGGGACGAGATGATCTTGGAGATCCCCCTTCCAACCCAAACTGTTCTGGGATCCCGTGGGACGGACAAAAAGCTTCTCAGGGTTGGGACTGGAACAAGATGATCTTGGAGATCCCCCTTCCAACCCAAATCATTCCAGGATCCCGTGGGATGGACAAAAAGCTTCTTGGGGTTGGGATGAGATGGTCTTGGAGATCCCCCTTCCAACCCAAACCATTCTGGGATCCCGTGGGATGGACAAAAAGCTTCTCAGGGTTGGGACTGGGACAAGATGATCTTGGAGATTCCCCTTCCAACCCAAACCATTCTAGGATCCTGTGGGATGGACAAAACCTCCTTGGGGTTGGGATTGGGATGAGATGGTTGTGGAGATCCCCCTTCCAACCCAAACCCTTCCGGGATCCCGTGGGATGGACAAAAAGGTTCTCGGGGGTGGGACAAGATGATCCTGGAGATTCCCCTTCCAACCCAAACCATTCCAGGATCCCGTGGGATGGACAAAAAGCTCCTCAGGGTTGGGACAAGATGGTCTTGGAGATCCCCCTTCCAACCCAAACCATTCCAGGATCCCGTGGGATGGACAAAAAGCTTCTTGGGGTTGGGATTGGGATGAGATGGTCTTGGAGATCCCCCTTCCAACTTAAACCCTTCCAGGATCCCGTGGGATGGACAAAAAGCTTCTCAGGGTTGGGATTGGGATGAGATGATCTTGGAGATTCCCCTTCCAACCCAAACCATTCCAGGATCCTGTGGGATGGACAAAAAGCTTCCTCTCAGCTGCCAAGCACCGGCTCAAGGGGGGATCAGCTCCCGATCCCGGCTCCTTCTCTTCCAGATCGGCCCCGGGGGCAAGTCCGACCTGCCCCCCATCGACGGCCCCATGGACATGGAGCGGGGCCCGATCCTGCCGGTGCCGCTGGGGATCCGCCCCGTGCTGAGCAGATACAGGGTGGAGGTAAAGGGAGAGGATCTCCCTGGGCTGGGAAGCGCTGGAGCATCCCTAAAAAAAGCAGGGAGCTGGGTTATCTCCCCCCAAAGAGGTCTCGGGGATTCTGCACCCACCAGCCTCGGGCAGTGAGGGTGGGACGTCCCTCATGTGTGTGCAGGTGTCCAAAGGGGGATTTCTGTCCAAAATGGGGTGTCCAGCAGGGCCAGGGCAGTGCCCTCCCTGTGCTGGCACTGCTGGGGCACCTCCAGTGCTGGGGCAGCTCTGGGCCCCTCACACAGGAGACACAGGGAGGGGCTGGAGCGTGGGCAGGGAAGGGAAGGGAGCTGGGAAGGGGCTGGAGCAGCAGGAGGGGCTGAGGGAGCTGGGAAAGGGGCTCATCCCAGAGAAAAGAGGGATCAGGAGGGACCTTTTCCCACCCCACAACTCCCTGACAGGAGGGGGGAGCTGGGTGGAGGGTCCCCAATTCCCAGGGAACAAGGGACAGGAGGAGAGGGAACGGCCTCCAGCTGGGCCAGGGGAGGCTCAGGTGGGATATTGGGAACAATTCCCACATGGAAAGGGCTGTCAGGCCCTGGAATGAACTTCCCAGGGCAGGGCTGGAGTCGCCATTCCCGGAGGGATTTCAAATCCGTGTGGATGTGGCCTTTGGGGACACGGATCCGGGGTGGCCTTGGCAGTGCAGGGAATGCTTGGATTCCGTGATCTCCAAGGGATTTGAGATCATCCCTAAGGATTCTGTGCCATCCTGGCACTGTCCCAGGTCTCCACAATTCCCTGGAAGGAAGTTCCAGGAGGTGGAGGGTCCCCAATTCCCAGGGAATGAGAGACAGGAGGAGAGGGAACGGCCTCCAGCTGTGCCAGGGGAGGCTCAGGTTGGACAGGAGGAGGAATTTCCTGCTGGAAAGGGTGGTCAGGCACTGGCAGGGGCTGCCCAGGGAGGTTTGGAGTGCCCAGCCCTGGAGGTGTCCCAGGAAGGCCTGGCCGTGGCACTCAGTGACAAGGTGGGCACAGGGTGGAATCCATGGGCTGGGAGGGCTTTTCCAACCCCAGTGATCCTGGGATTCTGTGATCCCAGTGTCCAGTTCTCACAGGCTACACGAATCCTAAATAAATCCTCAGAATCACTGAACCAGAGCCCACCCCTGCCCCGAATCCAGGCTGGAAAACTCTCCCCTCCAGCCAGGGCACATCCAAGCTGCCCCCAGGGATGAGCCTTCCCGGGAACCCCCTTTTCTATCAACCCTGTGACCTCCAAGTCCCCCCAACCACAGAGAGAAGCTGCCAATCCTCATCCCAGGATACATCCCCGGGTGGGATCAACCTCCCCTAGGATCAGGCACTTCCTTGGAAGCAGCAGAGGCTTCCCTGCCCCTTCCTTCCCCCTCCACACGCACCTTCAGCTCGTCGACCTTCTGCTTGTTCTTCTTCTCCGGGAGCTCGGGGGCCGCCTGCTGCTGCTTCTTCTTCTTGTCCTCCTTGGGTGCCTTGGCCTTGTCCTTGTGCCTGGCCTGGCCCTTGGAGCCTTTCGTAGAGACACAGAATCCCAGGATCAGCTGGGTTGGAAAAGAGCTCCGAGATCATGGAGCCCAATCCTGGATCCAACCCCTCTGTGGTTCCCAGCCCGTGGCACTGATGCCACATCCAGTCTGGTCTTAAACACATCCAGGGATGGAGAATCCACCACTTCCCTGGGCAGCCCATTCCAAGGGCTGATCCCTCTCCATGGAAAGAATTCCTTCCTGATATCCAACCTAAACATCCCCTGGCAGAGTTTAAGACCGAGCCCTCTTGACCTGCTGCTGGTTCCTGGGAGAAGGGAATGACTGGGAGGTGGGAATAGTTGGGAGGTGGGACAGGAGGAGGAATAATTGGGATGTGGGTTGGGAAGGGGAATAAATTGGGATATGGGAGAAGAGGGGGAATAGTTGGGGTGTGGGATAGAAGGAGGAATAGCTGAGATGTGGGTTGGAAGGGGGAATAATTGGGATGTGGGTTGGGAAGGGGAATAAATTGGGATGTAGGAGAGGAGGGGGAGTAGTTGGGATGTGAGAGAGGAGGGGGAACAGTTGGGATGTGGGAGAGGAGGAGGAATAATTTGGAATGTGGGCTGGGAGGGGGAATAATTGGGATGTGGGTTAGGAGAGGGAATAATTCATGTGGGATAGGAGGGGAAATAGTTGGAATGTGGGATAGGAGGGGG